ATATATATATATATATATATATATATATATATATATATATATATATATATATATATCCTGTATATACTGTATATACAGTCTGTGTGTGTCTGTGTGCATGTGTGTAAGTTATAACCTTGTAAAATAATAGTTTTGCACAGCTTTTTCGGTGTGCTGCCTCTCTGAATGAATGATGTATCTTCTCCTATGGCTTCACTTTTGCCACGTCCAATATGGCGACAACATCAACACATGATTCAGCACTTAATGAGGCGTCTACGATGTCTATGATTTAGACCAGCGGTGCCCAGTACATTGATCGTGATCTATCGGTCAATCGCAAAGGTAGTTTGGGTGGATAACATGGCATTTAAAAAATGGACGTCAGCCTATCATCCATTCTCAATATGAAAGTTGTCACTTGATTGACATACAAGGCAGCCAGTCTGAGACCTGACCTTTTCTGACACATAGGTCACCACGCATACACATACAACCAAGCCAAAAACTAGGAAGCTACTGAGTTGCCTAGTTAGCCTCCATTTTATTTCTTCTAAACTCAAGAAAGGGGTAAGGGAACTGAACCAAGTAAGAAGCAAGAAACCTACCATTTCCATACAGAATGGGAGGAGTTCCAGTACTTTTTTTCATGATGTCATATTTGAAGTGTGTTTGCCTCATCTGCCAATCTACCATTGCTATTCCGAAGGAGAGAAATGTGGACTGGCGTTTTTAAACTGTTCATAAAAACTATGACAAAGACTGTCAGGGGAATTTATGTAAAGATTATGGATGTTCATCAGTATCTAATGTGTTAAATTGATGTGTGTGAGTTAGAGAGTTGTTTTATCTGAACAGAGAGGAGCCTGCAAGCGCACAGAGGAGCACTGATAACTCCAAAGACTCCTCCTCGTCTGCAAGATGGAAAGCCGAGGTCGTCTTGACCTCGCCTCTGTCTGATAAGTTGTATTAAAAGCTTTCCCTGCCTCTCTGTCCCGCGCAGATTCTCACAGACGAAGCTCAAAGCATGTAGTTTTTCTACATCTGTTAAAGCTTCCTCGTGACTGTGCAAGTAAAGACCGGTTTAAAAATCTTCTTGTGTCCCTGGAGTGGCTTATTTGAGTAAAGAAATGATGAAAGGTTATTTATTTTATCCAACGCTGACTTCAATCCAAAAAGTGAGCTGCGAAAGAAAAAGGTGAAGGAACTAAAATCCCAGTAATGTGGACAGCAGTCTTTTTTGTTTCACAGCTGACCACAACAGCAAAGGCAACTTCCAAAGCAGCGTTCAGGGTGAGTCACTTCATTGTTAAGTACAAGAAGTCCTTTGAACATGGACAAAGAGGTATTCATTGAAGCAGTTGACTCGTTGTTCCGAGACTTTAAAAACAAACCAGAAATATTATCTTCGATCAAAGCTCTCCAGGTATCAAGAAGTACAGTTGCACGGCGCTATGAGCCATAGCCAAGGATTTGACCCTCAACTTTGGAAGGATATCGTGGACTGAAAGTATTCCTTAATGCGATTGGACGAGTTCACAAATGTGAGTGACACAGCCCATTATTATTCAGATGGTGTTTACTGATATCTGGAGTGGAGGATGAGATTTTGAGACTAAAAGGTGACATTCGGCTTAGGGCCTGGGCTCATGGACAGTTCTGGAATTGACCGTATTTTCTATTGTGTAAATCACAGTTGTTTGCATAGATTTGTCAGTCCTGCGACTTATATACGTTTTGTTTCCATATTCATTACATAATTTTTGACTGAAACTTTAAATTTCAAAGAACTGCAACAGCGAGTCCTCTCATGGGCGCTCGCTTCACTCAGCAAGTGCAGGCAGAGGAATGCTGGAGAGCTAGCAGCTCCGGCCGCAATGGATGGATGGATGAATGGATGGATGGATGGATGGATGGATGGATGGATGGATGGCGCCACGTTGCTGAGGCGAAATAAAGCTGTTTTGACCATTAAATAAATGCATAATAAATGCGACCTATACGCCGAAGCGACTTAAATATGTTTTTTTCCTCTTCATGATGCTTTTCTGACTGATGCGACTTATACGCTGGAAAATACGGTACTCACAGAGGACAAGTACCCCAACATGAGGACATGTGTTACCTCCTTGACTGCATTATTCAGCTCCACTTATTTATGTGAGTCAGCCATTTTCCACATGAATATCATTAAGTCCAAATACCATTCCACCATGACTGATGATCATCTGGAAGCGTGCTTGATGCTGACTATCAGCAGCTACTGTCCAAACTGCATCCCTGGCTGATTCCATTCAGTGCAAGTCATCAGAAAAATGTAGAGTTGCATTATGCAATATAGGTTTACGTAGTTATGCAAGGTACATCAACATATATTATACACATAAAGAATACTTAATATGTTTATAACTAAGTACAGTATATGTTTTGATTTTTATAGTAGGTAGATCACTTTGACTTGGTCATTTTACAAGTAGCTTGCATGATGAAAAAGTGTGGGCACCCCATGCGCTAAACAAACGCTGAATGATGCTCTAAAAGGTCTAAGATGTACGCTAAACACTAATGATGTAAAATAATATGGTGTGTTAAACAGCAGTGCGAATATGAGTCTGTGGTGAGTAGATTGGTATGAATACCACAACACATTGAGTGTTACGTGCCATATACAGCCTAAATCACTTAAATGTAATCGGGTCACGGAGACAACAGTTTCAGGAGTAAAACCCAGACGTCCCCGCAGCGACATCAGCTCCTTGGAGCACAACCTCAAGGAGTTCCCAGGCCAGAGAAGATCCACAGTCTCTCTAGTGAGGTGAGGGCTGGAACATAGAGAGACCAGTAAAGCTTTGCCTTTCAACTCAACTCTTTCTTCACCACGACCAACCAAAGCAACAACCTCATTATTGAGTATGAGGCCCCAATCCATCAATCCATCTCCCGCTCCATCCCACCATCACTCGTGAACAAGACGCCCACACCGTACTCCTCCATCATAGGCAGGTGTTATAATACGTAACAAACAAAAAAAAATGTTGTTATATCATCAAAATAAAAATGAACAATGAATTGTTGACATTTATTATAAAGGCAAAAGGGAAGACCATATTCATATTCCTGTAAAGAATGGGAAAACAATTTTATAGTTCATAGCTTTATTGATCAAATTAAAACACTATACTATAGGATTCATGGTTGTTTGTCATATAAAGGCCTATATAAGGTTTAACTAAGTAATCCAGTTTGGAACTATAAAGCATGTAATTATGGTGAAGATAAATATGACACCAGTTTATTTACATGGAGAGGCGAGCACTTTAAATTTGTACTGGGACCGTCCTGTGGGGTCGCTGCAAAGGCTTCAGCTTCAAGATTCCTCTATGGAGTCTATTTATAATGTCATCCTTCAACTGCAGAGTGCAGACCTTTGCACAAAGCCCTGCCACAGATCACTATTTAGCAGGCCTCTGGTCCTCTTATACCCCCCCACCCCCGCCCCCCTAAAAACAAAAGCAAATGCAATCAACTGTGCTTCAGCATTTTACTTTCTGTTGCATGTGTAACCTATGCAATGTGTGCAGTGGTCATTTTGTGCATTCCTAAAAGTGCAATAG